GCAGTCTCTTGGGGCCTGGGGATGTCTTCGGAAAAGGCCCCTTGCGGCGAGTCACAGCTCCCAGCGTTGACGTTTGTCACGGGATTTCCGCGGGGTCGCGAGGGGGCGGTGGCAGGTGCGCTGGCTGTCGTCTCTAACGCGGCCGCCGTGCCGGCCTCGTGCTCGCGGGTCCGTAGGGAGGGTGCCCGCTCCTTGCGCCCGGTAATCGCTCTCGAAGTGCTGCTGCTGCTGAAGGTCTTACCCTGACAGCCCTGGAGTGGGACGTGCTCCTGTGCTGGCTCAGCCTGGAGAGAGCCTGACAGTGGCTCATGACCCGCAGAGGGGATGGAGGGGGGCTCACTAGGTCATGGCTCCCATGTCAGCTGGGGCGCATGAGGCAGTAATACCACACCAGCGGTCGCCCTTGTGATGTGAACAGCTCCCCATTAGGAGTGGGGCTGAGACCTCCACCTCCCTGCCCAGGAGGGATGTCAGATGCCAGTTAGTTGGTAGCTTTCAGTCCCTGCTATACCCTACTGTGGACACCAGCAAAGGGCCTGCTGCTGAGTGGCTCCATCTGTAGACTGCCCCCTGAGACGGGTTGTCTCTCCAGCCTCAGTCACCCTTCGGGAGTCCCTGCTTTCATTTACCTTGGTGTCTCTCTAGGCAGCACCCAGGTCTGGACCAGTGGAACCACTGAAGGACAGCGACTTGCAGGCCGCTTTGGAAGTGCTGCGGAGCTATGACTTGCACTGTGTCATAGAAGAATGGTTCATTCAAGTTTTACAGACAGATCTTCAGACAAATATAGCTCCTGAATTCTGGAACTGCATTGGCCAGTATGAAAACACAGCTGAGGAGCCCCAGTGCTCCTTACTCCTCCTGGATGCATTTTCTCTGCTCAAGTGCCGCCTAGACCCTTATCTAAACAGTCTAGATCTTCTGGAAAAATGGACCAAAGCAGGCTTGCTCCTTGGAACAGGTTCCCAGATGCTACGAGAGAAAGTGTACACCATGTTTAAAGCCATCCTCTTCTTCTCCACTACAAAGACCTTCCAGGAGATGATCCAGCAGTTCTACAGCCGCACCTTCAGGATATATATGCAGCAGTGGAAGAAAGGAGAAGATGGAATGAATGAGTGTGAGAGCAGTATGAGTGAAAATGATCAAGAGAGTGATACAGAAGAGGGAGGAGGAGACAGCCAGCAGTGTGCAGGCTGCAACAGTAAGAAAGACCAGTGCTGGTGTCCCACAGCCATGGAGCAATTTCAGCAGCTCAGTGAGATCCTGTATGTATCTTGGAGGGAGGGAGGAAAGGGATCTGTTGGACAGAATCGATATACCATTCAGAAAGTACACTGTCTACAGGCCTGTCATGGGTATGAAAGTCAGAAAGGTCCATCTCAACCTAGTCTGATTCTTGCAAGGCATTGTCCAGAAAATCTTGCCCAATGATTTCTGCATCCAGTCCATAACCTGTGGCTGAGCTACAGCAGCTCTTTGACAAACAGAGGAGAGTGGGCCTGGTAACTGCTGTGAGATTATCACCTCCCTTTAGGCTTCTACTCCCTTTGGAGACAGTGAATCTAGGCAAAATATTTTCTTTTCCCCAGATGCTAAAGATCTTGAACCTGCTTTTGTGGTTCAGTGGTAGAATCCTTGTCTGCCACACGAGAGACCCGGATTTGATTCTTGGATGCACATATAACTACAACTGTCAAGGCACCGAATGCCCAGACTGTCTGGCCTTTGGATACTGTCTCAATGGGCTAAAGGGGGAATAGAAGGTCTGGGCACCCCCCACTTCTCCATACTCGTAGCCAAATGCATTGAAGGTCCTTGTGACCTCTTGTGCATACACTGGGATCCAGAAGGGTCCACGGTTGCCTACTAAAGATCTTGAAGAAGTTGGCCAAATTTCAAAGTACTAAATACTGCATGCATACCCTACGTGTGCAGTGTGGCCTCATTAATGCTTCTGTTGGGACCTTAAGGATGATTTGCAAGAGGCATTACACAAGACCTGAACAGGAGTTTAGAAAATATTTGCTTGTTTTTCCATTAGAAAGCAGTTCTTATCTGCAGTGTTAGCTAGAGAATATTACAGGCAACTGGAGAGCTAGTGGGGATAAAATCAGGGATCTGGGTTTTCCGTTTGCCACGGAAAAACAGAAAAACGCAGGTTCCTCCTTTACCCAAGGAAAACATGGTATTTTCCTTTTAATGGAAAAACCCACGGATTTTGCACTTTTGCAAAGAGCTCTCTGCAGGCTGGTAGAGTTCCAGCCTGCAAGGGGCTGGTGGGAGCAGCAGGAGGGTGCTCAGGCAGGGGGTGCCATGTGCACATATACACACATGGCCGCCAGACAGCCTGGAGGGGTAGGTCTGGCAGCAGCAGGGGCGGGGAGGAGCAGAGGAGGATTGAAGCCCCCATAGGGAAGGAGGGAGTTGGGTGGGGCTGAAGCTGTTGCCAGCCAGGAGGGTGTGTGGGGTTTGGGGTCAGAATATGCAGCCTCAGGGCCCCCACAGGGAGCGGGACAGGGCCATGGGTGGTTCATTCAGGGGGTGGGGCCAGCTCCCCACCACTGTGCGCACTCCTTGCAGGACAGGGGGCACCTGTGCCCCCCAGATCTGTGCTCAGGGTGGGGGTTCAGGCGGGGGTGGGCTGCCTGCTGCAGGCTTGGGTTCCCCTGCCTTCTGTGGGCTTGGGTTCCCCACCCTGCTGCCCTCCTCTGGGACCTCCACAGCCCAGTGGGTGTGACCCAGCATGGCAGGGCAGAGCAGGACCTCGTGGGGAAGTTCATTGCTGCTGTGAGGTGCATGCTGCCCTGACAAGGCATCCCCTGCCCGCATGGCAGCAAAGGGGTACAACCTCACACTGCTGCCCTCGCTGCTGCCCTGAAGGCAGGGGGTGCCTTGCCAAGGCACCACAGAGCTTGCAGCAGCAGCGAGCTTCCATGTATAGCCCCACTCTTCTCTGCCACACCGGGTCACACCTGCTGGGCTGTGGAGAGCCTGGGGGAGGGTGGGGAGCCCAAGCCCCCAGCAGGCAACCCACCCCTGCCCCATGCATAGATCAGGGGGCATGAGTAAGTGCAGTGATGGGAAGCTGGGCCCACCCAAGCCCGCAGCAGGCAGGGGAGGGGTGGGCTGTGCTCCACTCCGCTGCAGCAGCTGCTGCCTCTTGTGGGTGGCAGCTGGGGCTCTGGAGCTGCTGCAAGGGGCAGAGCGCTGCGGACCTGGACCCCTGGCCCTGTAACGCTGCCAGCTGGGGGCCCCCTCTGGCATGGCTGGGGGGGCAGGGGGCTGTGGGTGGGGAGTGAGGGGCACCAGCAGGGCTGGGGGAGCTGTGGGGAGGAGTGAGGGGCACTGGCAAGGTCCAGGGGGCTGTGGGTGGGCAGTGAGGAGCACCAGCTGGGGGGCTGTGGCTTGGGAGTGAGGGGCCTAGACCTGTGTTCTGTGAGCTAAGGGGACAGAGGGAGCTCTGATTTTCCATGATAACCCAAAATCAAATACCAAAATGTATAGGTGTTTAGAACTTACTTTTTTATAATGATTGAGGCACTGGTAGGCTTCCAAATTGCTTTAAAATTATAAATATTATCAAGAAAGCATTGTGTTCAACTGATAACCCCCCCCCATTAGTGCCCTTTCATTTTAATCACAGAGTTTTAATAAGTTTGGTGTTTTAATAAGAAATTTTGAGGGTTTTTTATCAGAGAATTTGCAGGGTTTTTTTATTGTGGAAAACCAGAATCCCTGGATATAAAACAGCAAGCAAAAGTGGATCCTGAACTCTGGAAAAGTTCAGGGATTCCTATTCTATTTAAAACCTCTGGCTTTTTATTTTTTATATGAACTTTATACAAGCTTCACATAGTCCCTTTGCTGAAAATCTAGCCTTCCTCTCTTTACTTGAGGGGCGAGAAATATCTCTCCAGTTCTCTAATCCATCAGCATGGACTGGAAGCAATGGCTAATGATTTTGTATGTCCTGAACATTACTCCTAAAGAGTAAACCTGTTTATGCTCTTGCTTTGCAGGTGACGTTTGACTCCTAGGTTTTTTACCTTGCACAGCTGCAATCTGGGGCCCATAGTAGTGTGTGTTAAGAACACATAACTCAAATAGCCGAAATTCAAATGTACCTGGGATTGTTAAACATTTAACTCTTAACAATATCAAATGTAAGAAATAAATGAAATGTTTAAAGCTATGACTCCTTACTTCCTCTGCACTGCTGGGAATCTTTGAAAAAGCAGTGTGTTTGTAAGTTTTTTGGAAGGAGTTTCTTTCCTGCCTAGATCTTGCAAAATGCTCATGCTGTTTCATTATTCCTAGCTGATAAATGCTTGATGATATAAATTTGGGTCCAGTTGCCCCATTTTCTGTTTTTTCTTCCTATTGGATGGCAATCCTCCCCAAATAGCCATCCTGCTGACTGAGAAAAACCAATTCTCTTCACAAACTAGAAGCCAGGTGATCTAGCTAGAAATGTACACCATGACAATTGCCCTGAAGTAGCCACACAATTTTACCCTCTTCTAGGTGAGGATCATCTTCCCTCCTTCCCAGGCTCCATTATTAGGCATTTGCTTTGTGCTTTTCTCTGTGTGCTGGAAATGAAGCCCCTTGTCTATTTTTGCAGTCACAGGCTGAACCTGTTGGAGAGGGTGAGTTCCGATGCTGTGACAACTATCCTGCACAAGATGATTGAGGAGAGGATGGAGCGGAGATGCAGGGGTGAATACGAGCGCTCTTTTCTGAACGAGTTCCAGGAGGTAAGCCCCACACTGATCAGGGGCTGTGACTAAGGCAACGTGTCCGCTTCAT